AAATTACCAATACTAGGAAAGTAAAAGAAAAAGAAGGAGAAATATTTTGGGATGTATGAAATAAGGGGGGAGGGGCTCCTTTTATAGGAAGGAGGAGAGCCCCCAATTGAAGTTCCCACGGATGTGGGACTTCTTTCTTCACAAGTGACAAACTATCATTTTAAAATTGAGAATTTTAAAGTAATAGAATGATCATTTCAAAAACTCTATAACGTTTGTAGTTTGACTGTTTTGAGATTCAAAATTTTACAGTGATAGAACCATCGTTTTGAGGTTGAAAATTTTTAAGCGATCATATTTGCAATAAAATATTTTAAACGTACTAACGGTCATTATAGTCAACTCACAATAATATAGGAATCATATATATCTAATTTTAATGTTTAATATTGAGACTGGGGTCGTATTGTTCAAGTAACCCGACCCATTACACAATTAACCTAATAAATCACATGTGATGAGCTATTAATTATAAATTTTGAAAATGCAATCTAAATATCTAATCTCTAAACTATATAAAAGGAGAAATACTCGACCTAATACAAAGATAAATATAAGAAGAATTCTAGAGTTAAAAAGAGAGATTATGTTGTATAAAAATAATAAATCTTATTAATACATTTGAGTATTTCATTGTTTTTTATTAAAAATATATTAAGACTTATATTTATTGTTTTAAATATTTTATTAAAAATTATAAAAGAATAATTATATTTTAAATATATAATTTCTTTTATAATATTTCTAATATTATTTGTTTTAGAAGAACTTTACTACAAATAATAATGATGAAAATATTTAAAAGTAATACAATTAAATAAAAATATTTAATAGTAATACAATTAATACATTATTATTGAAAATAATACTTATTTGATAATGTAGAAAGTCAAGGTTAGTATTAATTTTTTATACTACAAATATTATTAAAGACTTTATAGAACTATTATATTATTATTAAAATGTACAAAATTAAAAATGTATTATTATCTTGAGTCTAAAAGAAATTTATTAAATTTTAAAAATATTCATTAATAGATATGAAAAAAATATAAAAAATATCTTAATATTATTAAATTTTTATGATTCATATAATACCTATATTAGTTCAATTTAAATACATGTTATTCTAAACAACAACATTACATATTAAGATGCATATGTAGTTTGACATAATGCGTTAAATCATTAGTTAAAAATTCATCTGGACATGTATTTAAAAATTAGAATATATTTTACTTCAATGATTTTTCATATATTTAATATTTATAAAATAATAAAATTTTCATCAGAAAATTTTAAAAAATAAATCTATTATGTTTTAAGAATTGATATAAGGTGATTAAAGATACAAATACATTGAAAACAAAATTGGATAAAAAAATATATCTTACAAAATATATATATATATATATATATATATATATATATATATATATATATATATATATTACTTTATCTCCAAAATATGAATATCATTTATATATGTTATGATTTTAACTGATATATTAATAGATTGTTACACTATTTTTTTTATTAGCAACCAAACATTTATGAATTAGATGGTTTGATTAATTTGATAAAATTTATTTTCAAATTGAGAAAATTATCTTAAATTGTATTGATAAAAATATATTTTATAATGAGTATTGTATTTGCATTGAAACTGATGTTGGACATATTGTAATTTATAGTTATATATAGAATAAATCTACAAAATCATATAAAATGTATTTAATGATTGTGGAATCATACTCAGAAAATTAAACATTTTAATCAGTTGTTATATTATATATGTTGCACTATAAATTTGAATAAGGTCAACAAATTATTTGATATAATATTCTGATTTTGGGTTAAAAAATATATATATTTCATATTTAAAAATTTTAAAGTATTATAAATATTTTGGTTATACATTAAAGTGAATTTAAATAATTTAGTAAATAAAATTGAGAATATATTAAATATAATTTTTTTAATAATAAAATATATGAAATTATTAATAAAAATTCATTTACGATTCAATAAAAAAATAAATAATTAAAAAAATAGTTAAAATAAATAATAATTATCTCAATAAAAAATATATTAATTAAAATAAATTATAATTAGCTTTTATCAATCTTTATATAGAAAAAAATTTAAAATAAATATTAAAGAGAATAATTTATTTACAAAACTTATTTAATTGATTATGTATAATTAAATTGAATATTTTAATATTACAAAAGAATTGACAAATAATATTATTTATTCTATTATTATAATATTATTAATATTCCACAAACATTAATATCATAATATTAATTATTATATTATTATCATAGTGTTTATATTAAGTAAATGGTATTATAATTAATTTTTCAATATCACGTTTTTATTTTTCAATTATTACTTATTATTATTATTATTTAATTTTTTATATTTTCTAATTTATTTATTGGAGATAAATTTGCTAAAGTAATAGAAAAGGAATTATTTATCTAATACGTCCATGTGTTTTATATATTGATTTTGAAATTTTTTTACGAAAATTTAAATATATTTAATCTTGTTCGTGACTGTTGAAGCTTAAAAAAATTATTCGAGTGAGTTAAGCTCTGAAGTAAAATTGTTGGAAACATTCTTATAATAAAAATAATATATAAATACATTAATCATTATTATAACTAATTTTATAAGCTATATAAATCTTATAATATTTTAATTTGAATTGATATAATTGTCTCATAATATTTATTTACTACTTAGTTTATGCAAGAAATATAACTTATTAAAGTGGTGTATATACGAAGAGATTTGTAAATATATATCAATATATTTATAACTTGACTGTACATATGTTTTTTTGGTAAATACTCAAATATATATATATATATATATATATATATATATATATATATATATATATATATTCTCCCTCGTATAATAATAATAATAATAATAATAATTATTATTATTATTATAATAATAATATAATTGATATAATATGATATTTCTTTTCTTTGTATATAACTATTTTTTTATCTGTTTAAGTTGTTAAGATGATGTGGCAAAACATCATCATTTTATTGATATTTTAGCAAAATTAGAGGGACAACGACAGCATGGTATAACATTTTTTTCTTCAAGAAGCAACTCAAGATGCAGTTTATCAATGATTTCAACATGCTTTAATAAACTTAAAGATTAACAACGACAGAGAACACAGAATGTACGAAAGAAACAAAGTTGAAAGCAAAAAACAAACTTAAAGAGCACTGAATAACGTTAAGGAATAACTTGTTATAGAAATAAAATGTTTGACTGACTTATAAGAAAGAAAAGTTTATTGATGACAGGGAAAAAAAAAAAATCTTGCATGTAACGATTTAGTTTCTCCTTTTAAGCTTTTATTTCCAACCCTCATGTTGTTCTTGGCAAATCATTCTCTTTCTCTATGCTTCTATTATCTATCTGGCTATGGGACCGTTGGTGGTGCTTCCTACTATTCTAACCAATTATTAATTAGACCTATAGTTGGATAAATCATGTTCATTTTTCTAAATTCTTAAATCATTTTAAATCTTTATTTTACTATCTTATTTCCATGTTTCTAATTTAAAAATATTTTAATTTTAATTTCCAAAATAGTTATGATTAAAATTGAATCGCATTAAAAAGATAAAGTAACTTTAAATTAAGTGAACGGAATTAAAAAAAAGTTGTCTGATTAAACACCTAATTTGTTTTCTTCTAAATAAATAAAAAACATATTGCATTCAAAATAATATTTTCTCTCTCAATTAAAAAAAAACTAAATACAAAAAATGTCTAAGATCTAAATAGCATTAAAAATAACTGTAATGTTTAAAATTATCAAATTTAGTTTTGGACCCGACTTAATTAGTGAAAGAAGAAACAACACTTAACCATTAATATGACTTTTATTTTTCGTAGGAAATTTATTAATAAACTGACAATTTAAACAGGAGAAAATTATTTTGGATTCTTTTAAACAGAAACATTGTTGAACGCGAACCTAACTACTAATGAATTATGTTAGACTTTGTATGTTTATTATATATTTTAAACATGATATTTTCTTGTTGAGATTCAAAGAGGTGCTACTTAATATCTGACATTTTCAATAGAAGTCATTTCATGTACACGAACTTAAAGATGATACATTTGACTATATAAATAGTAAAAACAATTATTTTCTAATAGTATCGCATATTTGGAGTTTCATTTTAAAAATACACAACATAACTTTTTTTTACAATGATTAATGTTATCGAAGTACAATTTAATTCTGGACTATAAAAATTGTTATATGATTTTAAAAATTAATAGTATAAATCAAACAATAATGTTACCTATAAAAATTATATATGAACTATGATAAGCATTTAACATAAACACCTTATATATACTTGAATATCTTATCTGTTTTCCTTTTTCTTATCGTAAATAAGCAACTATATAAGATGCACATGAATTGTTGAGGTTTCTATTACAGTCTGTGTGAACCTTTGATCATAGCTAGAAATATACAACATTTTATCTTTTTTTGACATATCATCATGTATCTTTCCCAAAAGCAAAAGTTTGGCCATATTCATTTGAGACACAAGAAAAAGAAATAAATCCGGTGCAGTTTCAACAAAATCCCAGTTATATCCTTAGTCTTGTGATGTCACAGTTCATTGAGATAGCTTCAGAAACCCACAGGGGTATGTTGTGAACTCCACATTGCAGCTGCATGTTTCACGTTTAGGGACCACCGTATCAGAAGCTACTTTACATATTATTCTGTCTCTATTTCTGTCCCTTTTCTTTTCTTTTCCTGAGTTCAGATATCTCTATGCTAAAGTAACTATGCCAAGTTTAAACTCACACGCACTCCACCCTATATATAAGTTGAGCATCATCACTACCCAAAGCCCAGGGCAAAGCATCATTTGCTTTCAAATACAAACCAATACCAGAGGATACTACTCTCACATTGAATCACCATGGCATTGTCTAATGGAACTTCAACTACCGCTTTGATCACTCAAAGTGGCACAGCTTCCATCCAACATCGTGCCTCTTTGCCCAATCCGTTTGATCTCACTGATGATCAGATCCTCGACATTGTTTATCTAGCCCACCTCAATGATGATGAATTTTGCGACACGGATAAACTTTACAACCTTGTCTCCAACATTGTCCTTCGGGTAATTCCCATCCATTTTCCCAACTATTTTTAATTTCTACTCGGTCCTTGTTACCATTCTCTAATGTTCGTTAACATCCTGTTCAGTTTTTCAATAATACAAATTACATCATCGATTAATCATTACAAATCTTTTAATTTGATGTCTCTTATATTTTTTAAACATAACACACTGTAGGAAGTTGTATAAAATAGTAATATAGAAAAGCTATATCTATTATTTAACAGAGTTGCTAACTTTCAACTTTCGAATTGTTTTACAGAGTCAATCTCCGATTTCTGCAAGCAGTTTCAAACCAGAATTCGTCACACTGAAGCTGATTTCTTGCCAGGTTAATTTTTATGCGCATGTTATGTTAGATTTTCTGAAGCTAATGTTGGTGTGGCTAGTATTTATCTTAACACATATATAAAAACTGTGACAGATGATATCCACACGTAGTGCTGCGCACTGCGTACACCAGACAACAATGTGGATTCTTCAACATCTGAAATGCTATTCCTGGGATGCGAAAGCGCTGATAACAATAGCTGCTCTGTCTTTGGAGTATGGGAGTTTCGTGCACCTTTCTCAGTTTCAAACAAACGATGCGCTTGGAAACTCGTTGAGACAGCTGAATCAAGTTCAGAACAGGAATGTGTCTGCTGTTGGCGAACTTGTCACGTACACAGTGACAGTGTTTCAGCAAATCAAAGAGTGGGCAAGGTATGCTGCAGATGGTTATGATCCAGAGGACGTGCCTGACTTGACAGAAGCCTTCCAAGCCATCCTTGTTGTTGTATACTGGACAATTGCTGCCACTGTTGCTTCTACTGGCAACCTTGTCGGTGTATCGTATGTTTTCATTTATTCAACTCATTCAAGTTTTTATATCAAGATCGAACGGATAAACATTGACCTTATGACTTAAATTGCTTGTTTTGACCAGGAGCTATAAGTTATCAGAATATAGAATCAGACTTGGCGCTGCTGTCGACAAATTGACAACGCATCTTGGAAATTGCAGTGTGCAAATAGGTTGATAAAATATTTGTTTCCGGTTCTTTAAATCCTTTGGAGTTGGGAGACTGATTAAGGTGGTTACAACGGTATACTAAGAGCTTGTCTTTATTTGTGCAGGCAATGTACGAGATTACGTTACCATCAGGAACATCTTTGATAGGCCTAAAGATATTGTGGACTTTTTGAAGGCTCTGATCTACCCTCAACAAAAGGGGCCTGAGAATCCCAAGATATTTCAAGGGAGCAACCTAGTTACAAAGGTTAGTTTTGTAACTTTTGTAGCAATGCGAGCATTATCTGGCTTTTGTTGCAACCTAATTATAGATGGAAAGTGACCTAGTTGAGTGATTATGTTGTGTTTTTTAATTTTTTATGTCACAAACAGGGCATTGAAGTGTTCAGGCAGAAACATGTGTTGCTCTTCACCTCGGGTCTGGACAGCGTTGAAGATGAGATTTCGCTTTTGAACTCAATGTACGACAGACTGCAAGAAGATCCAAAAGAAGCAAAAGGTTTCAAGAAAGAAGATTTCAAGATCTTGTGGATCCCCATTGTGGAGGGGTGGAACGAGGGCAATAGGGAACAGTTCAAAGCTTTGAAGAGTGGCATCAAATTTTACGTGGTGGAATACTTGTATGAGTTACCAGGGCTGAAGATAATAAAAGATAGAGAGAGGTTGAATTATGAGAATCAGCCAATCGCCCCGTTGTTGAGCCCCAAAGGTACCATAATGAATGAAAACGCCCTGGAAGTGATCTTTGAATGGGGGATAGAGGCCTTCCCTTTCAGGAAAATTGATGGCGAAGAACTTACTCTAAAATGGAAGTGGCTTTGGGATTTAATCTTAAAAGCAACACCTGGACTACAGGTACCCTACATTTCTCAACTTTTCTTCATGTCAGTAAAATGAGATTAAAGAAGTATTTCTTTATAGGCACTAAAATTAAAGTAAGAGCAGTTAATACTTAAAAGAAAATAAAAACCTTATAATGATTGACTTATGTATGAATCATTTAATTTTACGATGTGAATCAGGTTAAGGAGAACAGATACACCTTTATCTATGGAGGTACCAACAGTGCGTGGATCCAAAACTTCACACATGAACTGTCAAAGATAAAAATGAATGAGAGTATCCAGCGTGCGGATATTATAATAGAGTACTACCAACTGGGGAAGGGGAAGAGTGAACCCAACAACAGTGTTCCCAGTTTCTGGATTGGCGTGGAAAGGAAGAAGCAGAACAAGAAACACCAAGAGGCTGTGGACTGCGAGATTCAAAAAATTGTCAAGTGCTTATTCTGCCTCAAACGAGACCCACAAGGATGGGCAATTCTGAGCAAAGGGCATAACATTAAGCACCTTTGTCATGGGCAGGCTGTGTACCAGACTGTGGCTGAGTTTCAAAATTGGAAAGGGAAAGTATTCGAGAGAGAAGGATTTGACATTGCCTTCAAGGAGTACTATGATGCCAAGGAGAAAGAGATATCTGCTACTCAACCATGTGAGGCCTACACTTCAACTTCAAGTGTTATAGCTACCATCACTTGTCCCAACCCCACTTGTGGCCGTGTCATGGAGGTGTCTTCTGTTAATTACAAGTGCTGCCATCGTGATGATGCTTTAAGTTGTTGAGCTTCAAGTGGAAGGAGTATGTGCCTGTGTTTGGTTTTATTGAACTTTCAAAGTTCTGCCCCCGTTTTGCTTTGTTTACTACGCATAGTGTGATATACTAATTACCCACCTGGTTTACCCCTTCAATGGGTAGACATATTATAGCTAGAATAAGAGTTTCTCTTCTACTTATCCCTCTGTCGTCGAATTCCTTTGAATAAAGTTATAAATTATGCATGCGCACAGGTTTGTTTATTTGTTTTAATTGTACCGTGTCCTTTTTGCAGCATGGACTTCGCAATTATCCACCCTAGCTTATTAGATCCAATACTTAATCTGTACTAGTTTCTTTTTACATATGTTTTCAAAATTAAGATCGATGAATGTTGGTTTAACAATGTTTTTGGTACAGGAATAATAAAAATTGCTGGATTGAAATTTGTAAACCATACCAAATGAATATGTTCCATTACTTGGCTGAGACAGGACAAGTTCACCCAGAAAATTTATATGATTGTCTTCTGTCATATATTCAACTCCTCCCTGCATTAATGATATTTAGTAGATACCTTCTTTGCTTTGTTTAGAGTTACAGAACAGATCATACTTTAAACATGGTGGTAATATCTTATTATATATACTGAAATATTCTTAATCTTGAATTGAACACCAAGACTATACTCATTGTTAAATAATACACTTTCTAAGCAAAAGATCGCTTATGAGTTTCTGTCATATATATTTAATCTGGATTTTGAAAGCTTGCAAGCTTAACATACGTCAAAGGAATTTAACATCTTTAAACCACGTGAGTTTTGTAGAAATTGCATTATTGGTTTTGGTTATCTGTGAACTAATAACATTATTTAACGAACCTATATTGATTATTCTTGTCGCTTAATTAATGTGTTTGAGTCTTATATAGTTTTATTGAAGATTCATGGATGGTGTAATGTATGACTGAATTTTGAAATTCTTGGACCATTATTACATCTAAGGATTAGGTTGACTTCACACTTATTAGTGTATAAAATAATCCCGTAAGCCATTAAACCTAACAAAACTTAAGATTTTGCATGAATCTTGGCATATAGTCTACATGAGGAAATAAAGCATGGAAATGCCAATTTTGATCACTACTTAAAATGTTACAAATCACTAAAAGGCGAGGTTTTATTTATTTATTTATTTATTTTCTTGAGAAAATATAAACTCAATAGGTACAACTTTAGAGAATAATATAACACTAAATTCTTCCACGACAACGTAAAGACGTCAGCATGGTACGATTTCTGACCTTTGATCACTCATTGGGTTTAGAAACTTGAATAAGACAAAAGAAAAGAAACTTCTTCAAGCAAAAAGTAAAAAGAAACAAATATGAAAACGGCATTTTAATAAATTAAAATTAACTTTCACATAAATTAATTTTTCCATTAAAAAATTAAACTATAATAAAGTTATGCTTATTTAAACGTTTGTTAACTATTATTAATACAAAAAGTATTTACTGTTTTTACCAATTACAATTTTGTTGTTAAAAATCTGTCTAACCACATTTTAATAATATATATATATATATATATATATATATATATATATATATAGTTTATGTTTAATTTTAAATTTATGCTTTTGTTTTTTGAATTATAGTTTACAACAGTGAGTATTTTCAAATTTTTTTCATGGTCATAACCCTAATCCTTTATAGCATGCTGTGGAAGCTTCTCTTCTGTAATCCTTATTGAGTCAACATCAAGAAATTCCAAACTATTCCTCTTCCTTGATGATTTTTCATACAAAGTTTCTCAACTCAATTGCACACAAGCATGTCTAGAATTGGAAAAATAATGCGAACAAACTTAAAGAACACGAATAATTTATACAAAAGAGAAAACATTCTTGTTATAGAATATTTCAATTGTTAACTGGTAATCCATAAATAAAGGGGTTCTTGATAAAGAAAAAAGAACCAAGCTTCCCTATAACGAATTAATTTCTTCTTTAACTTTTTATTTATTTATTTTTTTCTTTATACTTTGAGACATTAGAGAATCAACAAATTTATATAAATTTAATCAAGAATTTAAAGACGCTAAAGTTTGAGGTTGTTGGCAATCTTGTTTATTCCATACTTCTTACAAATAATTTATAAATATAATTTCTGTTATTACTCTTATACTTATAAAAACATTTCACTAATTTTTGGTTAAGTGTATTAATTAGTGAAATTATATTAATATTCCCATTTACTTATTATAAACAGTTCTTATTAGGGACATATGATTTAATTAAGTTTATTGAATACACTTTTTAGCAAAACAATATTAAAATTGAATGCAACTATCATATGAAATTATATATAAAAGAATAGAATTAAATAAGAATATAGATTTAAATGTAAAAACAATATCATTATAAAATCAATTACTGTTAATTACAAGTTTTCAAAAGTAATAAACAATAGCACGTTTAAGTCTATTTGCTACGCTAACAAAATAAGTTCGATTTTTTATATAAAAAAATTAAAACCTAAAATGAATTTAAAATGTGTCAAAAGCACCAAAGAGTCTTGACGTCCTAAATTGATAAAAAATTCTAAGGAGTAGGGTTTCAATCCTGAGAACTCCAACGTATCCAGTTCAATTATTTTCTTTTTAGGTTGAATATCATGTTATTTCAACTTATAATAATGTATACAAAACAAGGTAATTTTTTGTTAATTTTATTTAAATGTTAATTTATCATATAATATTCATTAAATAATTTTTTTTCAAATTCTTCTTATTGTTTTGTTTATTTTATCTTATGTAATAAATGAGAACACAAATTTCGGTCCTATATGATTGAAGAAGAATTTTACTTATTGCATGTGGATGTTACATCAGTCTTTACAACATACATACATAAACTCCCTTATTGCCACCACTCATTTTCATCGTTAATATACAAGAAGAATAATAAAGAAAACAATATTTAAAAGTAAAACTACAGAAGTGGGGAAAATAGGCAAGAGCGATTGAAAAATATTGATATACATTCATTTAAATTTAGTTAATAAATTATTATTTAAAAAATTAAGTTAATTTTTAAAAAAATTATAATTATAAGTTGTTCATGATTAGGGAATGTTGATTTTTCATAAATTATTTTTTAATCAGGAAAAAAATTATATTTATAATTAAGTTGTGAAATTATATATGTTTTTAGTCTTATAGAATTAACAATTTTGTAATTTTTTATTATTTTAAATTATAAAACCATTACTTTTTTTTCAGTGAAATAAATACATTTTGACTTTAAAGTTGTAAAATATATATTTATTTTCATTCCTCCAAAATTTGAAATATTTTTTTTAATCTTTATTTCAAATTAATAAATGATGTTTATTGCGTTAAATATTTAATTTTTATTCCTTGAAATTTAAGATAATTCTCTTTTTAGTTTATTAAATCTTTAAAAAATATTATTTAATCCTTCAAAGTAAAAAAAAGATACAATTTTATATTTTATTATATTTAAAGGATTACTTTTTTTATATGAGATTAAAAGGAGATAATATAAAATAATATGAGAACTTTTTAAAGTATCACATCCACGTGATACTATAACATCCGTAAACGTGTGACTTGCGATTTTTTTATTGAATTGTATATACATAAGTAATTAATAGTATAATATAATTATGCAGATAAAAAAAAGATTTAAACTTTCTATGAGGAACGAGAACTATTTTTTTCATAAAAAATAAAATAGAAAAACATTTATTTTATAAAGATTAAAAATATATTAAATTCTTATTTTCTATAAAGATTAAAAATATATTAAATTCTTATTTTATATTTGAAATAGAAAGGAAGAGAAAAAAAAAAAGCATAACTTGAATATTTTTGTTTATTTGATAAGAGTAAAAATGAAAAACAAAGAATAATCAAATTATAAAAACAAATATCTTCAATTCAAATTTTAAACTATTAGCTTCTTATAATTTGTTGTTCTAAACTTGCTACTAATAAAGCACGGTGAATTAATTCTCAGTTATTTTTATTAATAAAACATAGGCATACGAGAGTATACCACAGATATTCATGATTAATAGCTCTTTTTATGTTTTAAATAAAGTAGCTTAAACTACCAAAATTTTCTAAATAAATTATAATAAAATAAAATAAAAGTATCCAAAAGCAAAAGTACGGTGACCTTCAAATTCACACACCCCAAGACAAAGAATAGCTTCTTCTTCCCTTTCTCTCTCTCTCTATATATATAAAAAAAAAATAATAAAAAAAAAAAAAAAAAAAAGCAAACGAATCAAAGATACGAACAAAAGGCAGAGCTTGCTACAACAACCTTGTCATTTTTTAACATTATTTTTAAAACTTGTCATGCTTCTTTATCTGTTTTCCTATATCACATTATAATTTTTACAAAATTTATATTTTTCATTCTCATTATTTTGAGTCTCACTTTAGGTATTTATATATATATATATATATATTTTCCTATTAGTAATTCATCAGGAAAAGCAATTATAGCTTCTTAATCGCATTCCTCAAGAATCTTAATCACTGGAGGTATATTGAAGAATCGCCATTATTCATCCCAACGTGTTTCACGCTTATACCATAGCCCGCTTCAGAAGCTACTCGGTATTTTGTCTTTCCCCGCTAAAACCTCAGTGTGTATATATAAATATGGGAAGCAATAGCATCTTCATCACAAGGCCAGGTTTGCTGTGCTCTCAAACACAAACTTCATCAGAAGATACGAATCATAGTGAACACCATGGCATTGGCATTGGTCAACCCATCTGCAAGTGCCACCAATCCACAGCAGAAAGACCAGCTCCCCAACCCTTTTGAGCTTCAAGACTCTCAGATCCGCTACAAGGTTTATCTCACTCACGTCAATGATGACAAAGAGTACGACGGGGATATCCTTTTCAACCTTGTGTCCAACATTCTCAACTCCGCCTCAGCTCAAGTTTCAGCAACTGCTGTAATTAATGTTTACAAATTTATTTATATATACATAATTCGTCATTGTTATAGCTTAACCTTAGCTTGCATATGACTTCATTATGTCCGAAAAAGTAACATACGTAATTGTTTGACTGGGTGGTGTTATGTCACAGATTTCTGCCACAAGTTTCAAACCAGACTTCCCTACACTGAAGCGGCTCTCATGTCAGGTTATTAGTATATCATATGATGAGTTTACTTTATGGGGGTTTTGATTTTTCTTTTTACGTGGTACTGGTAATTGATGATGATAACCGGTGGCAACAAGTAACAGATGATAACCACACGTGGAACTCCAGAATGTGCACACCAGACAACACTCAAGATTCTTCAGCAACTGAGTGGCTTCTCGTGGGATGCGAAAGCGGTGATAGCTCTAGCTGCATTCTCTTTGGAATATGGGGAATTTTGGCGGCTTGATCGGGTTCAAATAGCAGATCAATTTGGGAACTCTTTGAAGCAACTGAACCAAGTTCAGATCAGCAGAAAGATCCCTGCAGATATGACTGATCTGGTCACAGTTTTAGGGGAAGTGCTTAATTACATCAATCTGTGGGCAAAATGGTCTTCCATGGATTACGACACTGATGCAGTGCATTCCTTGTTAGCTGCCATGCAAGAGATCCCTCTTGTTGTCTACTGGACAATTGCTTCCATTGTTGCTTCCGTTGGCAACCTCGTCGGCATATCGTAAGTCCTTTTCTAATTATCCTGAAATATAGCCAACTAATTTATCAAGCAAATGCACAATTCTGGAAATAACAGAGAATTAAGCAAAATTTGACTCTGGTAAAATAGTTTTTAATTGTATTATTACAGAACTTGAAATTTGTTTAAAGAATCTTACCTTACTTCACTTTAACAAGACATGGTTAACTGTTGCAGAATATAAAAATTGAATTTTTTACTTTAATTTTATTGTTTCAGGGAGCATAAATTATCAGACTTTAAAGACAGGCTTAATAAGATTGTGATAAAGTTAAAGTCTCATCTGGAAAGTGGCAGATGGGAAATAGGTATATATATGTTTAAGGGCTTTATATTTATCGAATATTCCTTTGGAATTTTTTCTCAAATAAGATATTGTCTCCATTAATTTGTTGCAGGGAGGATACAAGATTACAAAATCCGCATCGACATTAGATATCCTAAAATTAAAGATGTTGTGGATCTGTTGGACATTCTTATTATTCCGGCTTCTGACAGTGGAACTTCCATACCCAAAATATTTGAAGGCGGCGTCCAAATTAAAAATGTTAGTCCAAAAGCATACCTTGAATTTAACTATTATTAGATGCCTTCTCCTTTCTGTCTTTCTCTGAGTAACTTTGAAAAATAATTATTATCTTCATCAATTTTTTGACATTCTCATTTAAATAAACAGATTCATCAGAAACATTAAATGTAAATGATTATGTCCTTTTCTTCTTCTCTTTTTTGTAATGTACCAAACAGGGTATTGAGGTGTTCAAGCAGAAATACGTGATGCTGTTCATTTCGGGCCTTGACAGCATTGGAGATGAGATTTTGCTTTTGAATTCGATATATAGGAGATTGCAAGAGCACGCAGGAGAAGAAATAAATGGTTTCAAGAAAGGTGATTTCAAGATTTTATGGATCCCCATTGTGAATGATTGGGACACAGATAAGACAAGGAGGGAGCAGTTTTATAATTTGAAGGGAAGCATGAAATGGCACGTGGTGGAGTACTTCGAAAAGTTACCAGGATACGAGATAATAGTGGAGAAATTTAAATACGATGGCAAACCTATAGTGACAGTGATCAACCCTCAAGGGCAGATAATGAATCAGAATGCATTGCAGATTATCTTCGAATGGGAGATCGAAGCGTTTCCTTTTAGGCAAATTGACGTTGATGATCTCAACAAAAAATGGAAATGGTTTTGGAATTTATTGGAGAAAACAGATGATAATGCAAAGGTGAGTGCAAATATACAATTAAATTCTCAAAGATTCATTAATTTGAACATACAGTTATATATGAATAATCATCAATTTAATTGTTTGCATTTCATTTAGTTTATAATTTGTTACTGTACTTAATGTGTTTACGATGTGAATTATCAGCGGTTGGGAAGGGATAATACAAGTTACGTCTTCATCTATGGAGGTAACGACAGTAACTGGGTCCAAAACTTGAAGAACGCAATTGAAAAAATTGAGAAGCATGAGATAAATAATGTGGATGTTAACATAGAGCAGTATCAGTTGGGGCAGGATAACCCCGACCATGTACCCTCCTTTTGGATCGGCCTTGATGGGAAGAAAAAGAATAAGGAGTGTAAGGGAAAAGTGGATTGTGAAATTCAGGAAGTTGTGAGGACCTTGCTTTGCCTTAAACAAGATCCATTGGGATGGGTTGTTCTTAGCAGAGGGCGTAACTTAAAGCTACTGGGTCATGCTGAGCCTATGTATCAAACCGTGCTTGAATTTGAGAAATGGAAAAACACGGTGCTCGAGAAAGAAACCTTTGATGTAGCCTTCAAAGAACATTATGATGTGGTGAAAGAGAGATATGCTAGTCGACCATATGATCATACTTCAACTGTCCTAGCAACCATAACTTGCCCAAATCCCACTTGTGGACGCGTCATGGAGGTCACATCAATCAATTATAGGTGCTGCCATGGTAGTGCAAACAGTTGCAATGTCTGATTTCACTACATGCCAACAAGTATCTTCCAAAGTTTGCTTTGACTGTTACTTTTACTCTCTATTTCACATGCTTACTTCTAGACAGATGCATTGTGTCCTATGGCCACTTGTTCGCCCTACAATGGGTTGAAACTAAATAATGGCTTCTTTTTTTTGTGTATGCTACTTTTCATATTGAATAAGAAGATTATAATTATGCAAACTCTTTATTTTGATTCATTATATTTGGCTAATGTGATTCCTACTTGTTTATTGTATTTTGATTACGTTATTATTACAACTGTATAATTGATGCGCATGGGCATTTATGAAGTTTGGAATCCCAACTAAGTTTGCATATCATTTGCAGTCTAGATGACATTAATGAAAAAGAAGAAGCAAAACATAAAAAGAAGGGAGAGAGAGAATTAGACCAAGATTCACTTACAACCTTTTATACAAGACAAAAAGGAAGACTACTTCTGTTTTTATAATAATCATAGCTAAAAAAGAGGGAACACGACCCCACCATATCTAGTTGGTATGTTATTATGTTATGAAACGCTTGTATATGTCAAAGAAAGAAACAGAGAAAATGAAAAGAGAGGTAAAAAAACTAAAATGGAATAAAGAAAAAATGAAAAACAAAATATGTGTATCATATTAACTTTCTTTTGAAAGTTATTTGCCTGGTAACAGTTATATGGAAACCTACAAGTGAAAAACAAAAATAAGTACTCAAATTAGAGGTTAGTTTTTCTTTCTTATTACATGTATACACGTATTTTGTCGATGTTTTAGAATTTTAGACCAGTTAACTCAAGAACTTTTTACCCCGACTTATTATTATTATTATTATTATTATTATTATTATTATTATTATTATTATTTTCTCAACGATAGTTGTAATGAGTGTGTTTGGTTGTTTAGATGTAGTTACAATTTTTTTTCGTAAAAACTGTGTAAATGCGGAATTAACAACGTGATAGCCCAGTATAATCATCATGTTCACGGTCTCATAATTAAATACGTGGTTCCATAATTTATTATGGAAAACTTGACTTTAAGTTTTTTTCAAACTTTATTTTTCATAATAAATAACAATAAATTATATTTATTTAATTTTAAATCTAACTATTTAAAAAAAAATAAACTTTACTCTATTTATTCTTCATCACTTTTCAACAAAACTTTAGTTTTCCATTTTATAATTTTTTTCCTTTTTTTTCTCATTCTTTCTTTTTTATTTTTTACTTATTTTTTTCTTCTTCTCTTTATCAAATATCTCTGATAGAAAAGAAATAAATAAAAAATATAAAGAATAAAAAATAAAGAAATTGTTCAACTATTCAAAATTATTTATAAAAATAATATAATTTTTTGTCAAATATTTGATCTAGTTTATCTTAATCTTAAAAATTAAATAAAAATATTGATTACTCAGACCTATATTTTAAAATAATTATAATAAAAAAATTAATAATATATTTATATAAAATACTTACTAAAAAAATAAACAATATTTTTAAATGAAAAAATATATTTTTAAATTTAAGTTTTATAAATAAAATTAATTTTTGTTTTTGATAGAATAATTATTTTATATAAAAGCTAAAGACTAATTTTTCATTATTATCATTTATTTTGAAATGATATAATGATTTAAAATAATAATTTATTTTAACTCTTATATTTTAGAATAAATAAATATTAAAAACTTAATCTTATATTTATTTTGTGAACTAGAGAACTCTTATCAAATTAATTTATAATATATATATATATATATTAATAAAATAGTTATATATATATTAATAAAATAGTTATATATATATTAATAAAATAGTTTTATGTTTATTTAAAAAGTTATTATTATTATTTTATAAAATAAACTAATTTATAAATATACGAACTAACAAGAGTTTAATGAGAACAAATTTTATTGAATTTAAGTTATAATTTATTTAATTTAACATAATATTATTTTGATATTTTGAGGTAGACTACTTTATTACATTTATTTTGACATTAGAGGACAAATGTTTGATAAAAATGGTGGAAGGAGATATATAACGGTTTAAGACATTAGTTCACCACTCTCCGTCCAAATCATTGATAATAGACAATATATAGTCAACTTAACAAAACCTCTTATATATAGAATTAAAAATTAAGAAGAATATAGTGGGTATCATAAAAACACTACAAAATTTTAAAGACCAAAGTTATGTTATAGATATTATATATTTATGTTTGATCGAAATGTAAATTATAATATTTATTCTTATATCAATGAAAATGAAAAATAAGAAATACTTCTTTTGAGATATGAAGTTTAACTCTTAAAGACTCTTTTATGAAGGTAACAAAGCATAATAAATTTTTTGGTATGAGATAATGAATTATGACATAATATTTGTATAGAATATGCAACATAATCATAATTAATTACGTACTTGTAATATAATAAAAAGTAGGTAATTATAAAATTATTCTGAAATGTTTAATTTTACGTAAATATTCTCACGTGACAACAATTTTTTTAAGTAAATATTTAATTAGATTATTGAATTTGTAAATGTGCCTAATTATTAATTTTTAAATAACAAAAACATGATTTATTTTTTTATATATAAATATAGGACAACTCCATTCTATAATAAATTTTACGAGAACATTTTATAATTAAAATATTATTTGAAAAATGAAAATTACACTAAATTAGAAACTATTTATTTATCATTAAACTGTAATATTAAGATATTGGATTAATTCTACTTTTTATACATTTAATTGAGAACGTTTCATACATTTATCCACGTACCAGTGATTTGCCATAAAACTACGTAGTACATTTGTTCTTTCCTTAAACCCGCAACATTTCTCTTTTTTTGCTGTTAAATATTGTTTTCCTTTTCTTGAGAAATGGCAGAATACCATCGTTTTGTAAACTTTGGCGAATTTTCCACAAATTGGCAATTGCATGGCTCATGAACCCTTCTGAGCACATTTCATGCCCTGGGAAGGTTTCAGCATAAGCCACTTGGAATATTTTCAACTTTTAAGCTCTTAATTTACTTATAAAGCAGATATACCAAGCGTCAAACTCTTGGCAATCTGCAGGCTATATATATGTGGACGCACCAAACCACAACCGCAAGCCATCCTTTGCTTACAGAGCTGGGAATATTGAAGAATACTAGCTAAGCTACTCTAAAGCTGAACCACCATGTCAGTATCCCCAATGGACCTCATCCAAACACTTCCAAACAGCATAAACCTCAGCTACCTAACCCCTGGGGTTAGTTTATCCGATCCAGCTCGGGGGAGAAACATGTGCAATGTGTTAGGTATTTTTCAGGGATAATAATAAAAAGATTTTCAGAGAACATTATATAAGAAAATATAATATTATCTTTAATTTAAAATATTAAGATATTAGGTTATAAATTTTTCTCACTTCCTTTTCACATAGGTACACCACCCCTCAAGTAGAAATATTTTTTTCTTAATCATGAGTATTCAGTAATGACCTCACTTATATCACCGTTCAACTAAATGAGACTCGTTTGTCAGAGAAACCCAACCTTATCAAGAAGATTTTTAACATAAAGACCTTTCACATATTTTAATCAAACTCAATTGAGCTGGCCACTCACCAAACAAACTATCGACTCTGATACTACTGTTAGGGATCAGAGCAATTGCATAAGATCTCACAACTAAAATAAAAAATGAGAAAAGAGAAATAAAATCGACAATAGACAATAATAAAATTTTACTACGGGAATAAATTACAATATCCTCTTTAAATCTTAGGAAAAAACAATAATAATATTCTCTCTAAGAAATAGGAGGACTTAACTACTATACAATGTACTAGTAAAAATAAGAAAGAAGAGATTTGAGGTGATTTATAAGATAAACATTGTGCTCCTTTTATAACAAGAAAAATAAGCACCAACATATAATTTTATGAGGTGAGACTTATCTTCTCACATTCTCTCACTTGAAGATTTTGATTAAATTAATCAAATCTTCACAATACATTATTATTGCATTCCATTGCAATAAACTTTTAGTCGGATCGCCTCTATGTAAACTTGTCACTGCTAACCGACTGTCATAACATATGCTAGATTCTTCTTGCTTTATTCTGAAATACAAGACATGATTCTTTACACTGTGTAAGACACTCCAAATAGCTTCCTTCCATGTCTGAGTGACTTCCATATACTCATCTTCTGTGATAGACAAAGTTATAAGATCATATAACTTGGATAACTCGTTGTGGGAAATCAAATAGTATTTTAGAAAAAAATAAATTAGGAAATTTGTAATCTGTACAGATTTGAACAATTAGAAACAATCTCATAAATCAAAAGATTCTAGAATAATAGAGTTATTATATTTCCTAAAATAACTTAGGTCTCCTGTATATATCTTGTATGATCTCTTTGTATTAAAATAATAAAATAAGATTTCATTTAATCTAATTTTCCAGATGGTATCAGAGCTTTCGATCTAGGAAGTTCTATCTGCGCACTATAAACCCTAAAACGGCAGCCTGTATTGCTGCTACATTTTTCTTAACCCTAAGACGGCAACCTGCATTGCTGTTGCATTTTTCTTAACCCTAAGACGACAACTTGCATTGTTGTTGCATCGCACCTTTTTGCTATAATGTCAAGGGAAGAGGAAGTTGTGAACCCAACCCCAGAAACGGGGAATATCCAATCCCAACAATATGGAGAACTGCAGAATATCCATCATGTATATAGACTAAATGGAAGAAATTATTTGAAGTGGGTCCAACTTGTTCGTACAGTGTTGAATAGAAAGGAGGTACCGAATAGAAGAAAGGAGGATCAACAAATGTGGAGAAGAAAGGTGATGGTCTTTGGTATACCTACTACAATAAGCCTTGTCATACCCAAGAGAAGTGTTGGAAGTTACATGGGAAGCCTTTAAATCGATATCGAAAAGGGGGACACAGAGGAGGCTCCTTAAGGAAAGGAGGA